CTACTGCCAGGAAAATGAATAAGGCCAATGCTGCGAAGCTGGTAACGATATCAACTCTGGCACTATTTTCCAGACTAATCACCTGTGCTTCAGATGTGCGATAGGTGGTTTGACGAACTAGCAAAATATGGTGTAGGAAAAGATAATGTGTTCACAAAGAAGCTGTTGTCTCGACCGAATATGCCAATTGGACATTACACTCAGGTCTGTGAGAACGGTTAGTGGAATGAATTCGACAGCTTAGAGAAGTCAGAGAAGTTCAGATGGTGTGGCAGAACACCTACAAGCTCGGATGTGCGATAGAGTGGTGCGACGATATGACTTATGGGGTTTGTCAGTACAGCCCAAGGTGAGTTTCTTCGAAGCATGGGGTGCAAAGCGAGGAAAGGGCCTCATTGTTGTTATCTTTCAGTGGAAACTACATCGACCAACTAATCTATGAAAAAGGAGAGCCGTGCAAAAACTGCAAATGCCCGAACTGCAAATGCGACAAGAACGAGGGCCTCTGTATCATGCCATAAGATTTCGCCTAACAACATTTACACGAGTGTTGTTGTCCGACTTCTCGATTATTAATGGTAGGAATAAAGCATTCATAGTGAATAATCGTAGGAGTTCTTGGAGCATACCATCAATACAAACTAATGCCATCGATTTGCGGTCGAACTCGTTAGTACGTAGATGAACAATACATCTCAAACAGATTCGTGCGTTTGATTTTCACAAGCCCTAACGAACATATTCTTGCTTGGACAAAAATCACCTAAACTTAGAAGTTACACCTTTCCACCACCTCTGCGTAGAAGCGTAATGCACGGCGCACACTCGGACCAAATCGATCGATGACAAGCAAATTATGCTTTGACTCAGTTCAACGGTAATATGTTTTTGAGGGCATTCTAAGTTCGCGAATGAGTATCCTTACAATGGCACAGAGAGAGTCAAGCTTTTGTGTGGCTATGGTAAGATCCTCGCGCGACGATAACCCATCAAAATATCTTCCAAACTAGCGGGTCTTCAGGAGAAGTGTACAGCTTATCGGGAAAAGAAAAAGTTGAGCCTGATCCTGATTCTGATGTCGGTTTCATTTCTGAGCAGATTGCGTCTGACAGAAGTTATTCTCGTCTGAGTAATAGAAACCCACGATTCACCCCTCACCCATCCGTAACCCATCCGAAATATTTCATGAACGGGGGAGAGACAGATTGACAGTAGGGTAGAAAACCGGAAACATTACAGAGATGATGTTAAAATGTTGTTCTTCCCGTTTCCCAGACGGCCCTTCTCCCGCTGAAAAGGTGCGTTAAAGGCAGCTGCACGATTAACACGCTATACAGGTGTGAATTTGATACAACTGGCTTAACAGAATTCCGTGACCTCGGACAGGCGCTGCGTGAAGCCTTTTCCAAGGAGGGTACCTCTATAACGCCCTATTGAGCAACAACTTTACGTCCCAAACGCCTTCCTTGCCCGCCCGCCCACAAACGGACGACCGTTTCTGACGCTCGTATTCTTCATGGTTGCTCGAGCAAATTATGAAGCAAAGATTGGTTATAGAGCACGGTGATGCTGCATGCATATATGGGTACAAATATGCAGCCGTATCTTCGGTAGCGGTGATTGGCAAGATGCGTACGGGAAACTCGTCCGAAATCGATTTACAAGTCACTGAAAACGAAGGCTTTTTCTTCGCCGGATTTTGACCGTTTCACTCCGTTCTTTCGCCATTTCCCCACTATATAGATCCCTACTAGCATTTTAGGCGAAGTAGGAAACCATCGCCAAACTGCCTTTAAGCTCCGCGACATGCGCAAAAGCGCAAATTCCCTCGTCAATAGTCCTACGCCCCATTGCTAGTTTTGTGCATCGGGATCGCCAGCTCGGACCACGTCAAACAGCGAGCTACTTGCCCCCTGGAAAGGTTTATTGCGCCGGAGTAAGGTCGACGGCTCCAGACGCATTTAGTCTGGTATTAATTTCCACATTAGTTTGGTATGTACCTACTCTAGTTCTCTGTATAGTTTAGGTGTTTATAACATAATTTTATGCATAAAGTTTATCCAATGTTTAAGAGTTAACATTTCCCCTACCGACAATTGAAGTAGGGCCGACTATGTCGTGTACAACGTAGGGTTGTGACTATCACTATGTGGTTTTATCATGAGCTCCTCAGGGCCGTCATTCACCTGCTGACGCGAGAAGCCTCCCTCAGTCGGCAAGGCATGCAGCATCCGTTCGAGAGGGAGAGCGGGCGTGGTCGTACTGAGGGCCTCGTTGCAGGGGGCCATTCCGTAGCTGCACACCATTCACACATACACGATGCTGCACTCTGCTCCTTCCATATGCAATCGCTTCCAAATTGAGATTGAAGTCGCAACCCTGTATATAAGCATTCTCGCCTTCAAGATTTCTGGACGCCTGCAATCTCGCTTCTTCGGATAAGTTGCAAGCAATCATTTGATTTGTGCGCAAAGAACGATATGCAGACTAGACATCAAACCCTAAGAATGTCAACTTAGCTTTTCAGAGTGAGTTAGAATCGAAAAATGGAATACGCGAGAGTATATCGAGAGACACTAGTCCACTCACAAGACGAGCCCCACTGACACACCCATCATGCACTCTTTCCACAGATGATTCATTGGCACCCTTGTACTGGGAAGACCTTTCTCTGGATATGATCCCTAGCCGGATTGTTTCCGCCAGTACGACCCTCACACGCAGCCGTCAATGGTTAATCTACACGATGCCTTCAAAGATACATTCCGCGAATGTCAGATGGACAGAATAACTCAAAATCACCTACACAACTGCCGGGTTCACTTTCGTTACTTAGATTCCTGCCACTCATTGTCATGTTACGACATGAAACATTTATGGAAATCGCACAAATCAAAGTGTAACTGTTAACGCAAAGCGTGAGATAGAACTTCAAAAAGAAGTTTTTTTAATATTGATCACGTGAATTAAATACGAAAGAGGAAAACTCAGCACAACGTCAACGGCCTATAAATATTGTTGGTGGCTTTGTCGTGCGCGTAAGCAAGTAGTTGTGGCTCATCCGACAGTAGCGAAGTTAGTTTATTGGCAATCAGACATGGTGAACTAAAAACCATTTACGAGCTAGGATACACTACAGTATGAAACTTGGCTGCTCCCAGCAGGAAGGTGTGCTCTCGTGTATCGTTAGCCTCGACTCGAGCAATCGCACACTCTATCAGGCTATTATCCTAGCTAGTTGAGAGACAAGAAACAAAGGGAGTACGCACACAGCGGTCGGTTACGTGACATCTTGAAATTTCGTACATGGTCCGTTTGTGAAGTTGTAAAGGGCAAACGACGAGGACGAGACAGTGCAGAGAAGAACAGTAGATCGAGGCTCACGAGGGAATAGGCTCAGTTGTTCGCAGACCGCAGCAGCAATGCCACGTTAAGCGGAGTGCCTCCTGCTGCGCATGCTGCAGATCGTCCCAAGTTTTTCGCCGCGCTAGCTGCAACTCACCATCAGAGCCAACAATCACCCAGTGTGCGCAGTGTACTGCCGTCTATGAAGCAGAACAATAGGAGTTCGTGAGGAACAAACACACTTGGTGGGTCGGCTTTAAAGATGAAGCTTGAATGCTGGAAGCTGCAGTAGCTGGGTTCTAGGGCCCACTACACTTCGCTGTGACACAGATGCTCAATACAAAATTCTACGCTTAGTAGCTGTGTGTCGCTTCACAAGGGATCTTCGCGCATTATGACAACGCTGACCCAGAAAGTCGCGGTTCTTGGACCGAGTTCTCCCGACTCCTAGCCTTTCTGCCTTCACTTCTCAGAACATGGGTACCTTTCACTAAGCTGGCTTCAATTGGCTAGATTTGAGTGAGGTGGTCCTTGTGGTTAGTTACAACAAGGTAATGTGGAAGAAGATTTTTTCACGTCAAAAGTGACGATACTCTGCCACCATCCTCCAATCCTGAGATCTCCTCGTTCACCCGTTTTCCGAATGCCTGCCTCTCTCGCCCCTTCTGACAAAAAAAAACAGTATGAAGCGAACACAATCTGCTTCTAGCATTTGCACACAATTCTTTCCATTTCTTACTTTGGGAGGTTGGGTATCCCGAAATGGGACTGCCTATGCTCAAAGCCGCATTGATTGCATGAAATCGCTCACCATCAATTGGCATAGATAGAAATGCGAAGCGGTCCCAGTTTATTTTGTCGTGAAAATGGGATAATTTTCTTACTTACCATAAATAACAACGATCAGAATTTTTGTTACTACCGAACGAACTGCAGAGCACTCAATCTGTTTAATTTTAAAAATATCCAAAAAATGGCCTAATTTCTTATAAAAAAGCTCTGCAGTAGTAGAGCGGGACATTGCGGCGTCGCCTTTCCTCAAATGATTCGGTAGGTCAAAATGTCCGCCTACTGCCGAACCGCGTCTAGTAGGGATTGTTCTATAGTAATGTGATTGCTTTAGAAAACAATCAAAGTCATTCAAGACCGTTCATTAACGCCTCATATGGGGAATTTTTCGGAAGTTCTAGAAATTCCCATCTTATTCGAACCAAACAGAGAAAATAAAGTAAACCTGTTTTACACTGAGAGTACTGTAACGTCGCATTGTCTGTGAATGGACACTAGTCTCCCGGAAGTAGCTAGCCATTTTCAAAACTTGTAAAGTTATTACGCCCGAGTGATGCCCTTCAGTTTGAAGGGAGCACGCATATGTATGTACGCTGCAGGTGAATAGGGTATATCAAAGACACTACCTCCGATCAATCTTTATGTGTAGGGTTCAAAATATGTAAGAAACCTGTAGCCGTTATGTGACTCCCCAGTAGAGAAGAATGCAAGAAAACCTTAATAACACCTTAAACAAAACCTCGCCCTAGCAGTAACACAGCCACATCGTACGAGTTCTCTGGTGGCAAGTCAACACCCTGCGGCCTCTCGCAACCCCTTTTCGACAAGTCTTCGTCTTCACAGTTTCTTCGCATCTTCCACTACTAAATGCCATCTACGACTAGAAAAAGAAAACGGAAAACAAAGACGCTGGCACAGAAAATAGCTTCGAAAACTCTGTGCACGAAATCAGGACTACGGCAAGCAATGTACCACGATGCGCCATGCGATTGCTTCATTGCTAGATTCAAGCTCCGTGAAGCTTCGGCAGAGAAGTGCTACTGCTCGCTTACTTCCAAAAAAGGTATCCAAGAAGAGCACA